GGGAGGGGGAGAGGGATCTGTGAATAGCATCGACCGCGCTTACCTGGCACACCGATGAAAAGACGTCCATCATGCAATTTAGCGGGATAAAAACGCGGACATGCTTTGTATTGGTGTGTATGTATGTCGTTAGCACGACCGCGCTAAATAACCGGCTGACGAATGAAAAGACGCACCAAAAATGTCTGTGTGTATGTCTTTACTATTATATTATAATCGACCGCGCTTACCGGTTATCTATGAACTGACGCGCGAGTCTCAGTGTGGCTGAAAACACGAAATTCTTCTAACCATCGATCATCTGGGACCGCGTGAGGGGTTGTCGTGGGAGAGGGCTAAGCTGCTCTCGGGATGAAAGACATTTGTGGGTGTTTTTCGTGTGTACGGACGTAATACCGGTGGTCGCCTTCGGCCAGAACGCCCCCAAAGTGTCGTGGAAAAAGAATATTTGATGTGATACATACCATATTTTCCAATTTTTACGGCCTTTTCTTTTCAAAGTCGGGTAATCAACATCGAGCTCTGTCCTCCCCCCCCTTTTTTTGTCTTCAACCGACCAAAGCAGATGTCGATTTTCATATTTTTCTCCTGATATTTGGCGCCTCGTCAATATGTGCCGGGCCCAGTTTTTGATAACGCAGGTGGTCAACTTCGGCCAGAACGCCGCCCGAGGGACAACCGCCTCCAAAACGTTGTGGAAAAAGAACGTTTGACGTGATACATACATGATTTTTGTATGCTTTGAAGGCTTTTCTTTTCGAAGTCGGGAAATCAGCATTGAGCTCTCTCGGTCTTCCTCTCTTTTTTCGCTTCAACCAACCAAATTCAGATCTCGATTTTGATATTTTTTTGCCTGATTTTTGGCGTCTCGTCAATATGTGCCGGGCCCACCATAATAACATAATAACGCAGGTGGTCAACTTCGGCCAGAACGCCGCCCGAGGCAAGAACGCCTCCAAAGTGGTTGTAAAAACCACCCGGGACGCTCAGTTCCAGCTGCTGCACCTGTCGGTGCTGAGGGAGTACGTGTGGGCGGAATTCACGCGGGACATGCCGGAGGAAACGGTGAGATTCTACACAGATCAACGTGTGTACATACCGTAGGTGACACGGCATGACGTAATATATCACACCCCCTGGTGCTGAGGGAGTACGTGTGGGCGGAGTTCGCGTGTGGCATGCCGGGGGAGACGGTGAGATTCTAAGCAGATCAACAACGTGCGTACCGTAGATGACGTAAGATATCACACCCCCTGGTGCTGAGGGAGTACGTGTGGGTGAAGATCGTGCCGGAGGAGTCGGTGAGATCTGTACACGGGTCAACGTGTGTACATACCGTAGGTGACGTAATATATCACACCCCCTGGTGCTGAGGGAGTACATGTGGGCGGATTTCGCTCGGGACATGCCGGAGAAGTGAGATGCAGCGGGAGGCGCGTCAATAACGTCGGTTGGTTATGGCCGGTGGCCCTGTTATAGCGCTGGTGAAGTTTGCTGGGCACAGATTGAATTCACCAAGGCGTTGGGTGCTTCTTTGAACACGCCAGCCCCTCTTGCATAGGGCCGGTCGATGCGCCGGGCACATACTGGTGGTAATGAGTGTCCTCCCGCTGCTGTAGTTGACGCACGGTATGACACCCCCTGGACCGACTTTCGAAGCTCCATTTCTTCACGCCGAAGATGATGTGCGTACCAAGCAATGACGCGTTCTTGGGAACCGTCTCGACGAGGTGGTTCGAACGCCGTCGGTTTCGACGCATGCCACTCTTTCCGCCGTGGATAAAACCGAGCTTTGAAAATCGCTCCAGGGGGTGTGATATCTTGTGTCACCTACGGTACCTACCTATCCCGCCGCTGACTTGGGCTAGCTCTTCGTTTTGCCGTACATTTCAAAGTATGAGCTCCGTCTCTGTGCTTGTGTGTCCGTAGATAGGGCTCCGGGATACGTTAGCAGCGATGGATTCATGGCGTTGTTTAGTATGGCCTACCTTTTGTTTCGATCGTTTGATTTTCTACGACAGCAAAGATTGAGAGAGAGAGAGAGAGAGAGAGAGAGAGAGAGAGAGAGAGAATACTTTCGTTGGACAAGCTTGGTATAACAAATCGACCGCTTACCTTTAAAGTTGTTCAAAAGGCAGAGAGATGGGCAGCTGCGAAAACATTTGTATCATAGGTTCGATTCCTGTTCTTTTGTGTCATTTTTTTTTTTCGTACAAGATTACAACGACTCTGTCCTCCAAAAACACAAGAAACAATAAACTATTTTTAGCACCACATTATATTGCCATGTCATGTATCGCTCTTCATCTTTTATTTTTTTGTTATTTTTGTGCTGTCTTTGTTTTTTTTGTTCACCAAGGCGGCCGAGATGGACAGGGAGCGTGTCGTCGACGACTTTGTTTTCTTGACATTTCTCGTGGGCAACGACTTCTTGCCGCACATGCCGTCGCTAGACATTGGCGAGGAGGCGTTTTCGCTGCTGTTTCAGGTATGCATACGATGCGGTTTTGCGTTGTTGTTGTTGTTGCTGTTGTTGTTGCTGCTGTTGTTGTTGTTGTTACTGTTGTTGGTATGTACGTTCGTATTCGCTTCTAAGTCAAGCACGGTAGGGCATGCGTTGATATTGTTGCTTGTGCTGGTGATCGATGATAGCAATGAATGTTGACGTTTTCGCTGCTGTTTTCAGGCACTGCATGATGCGGTACACGCCATCCTTGGTGGTGGTGGTAATATTGGATCGTTGTTGTACATGCGTTGCTGCTGTTCTCGCCGTTGTCTCTGGTGGTGTTTGTTTGCCGTGTTTGTGCTGCTGCTGCTGCTGCTGCTGCTATTGGTGTGGCTAGGGTGGTGTTGGTGTGGCGTTGCCGTTGCTAGTCCCGGTGGTGGTGGTGGTGGTGGTGGTGTTGGAGAAGCTGCTATTGTGGCTGGGGTGCTGTTGCTGCCTCTGCTGGTGGTGGTGTTGTTGCTGCCGTTGTGGCTAGGGTGGTGGTGATGCTGCTGTCCAGGCTGCCTCCTGTGCACGTATCTTAAGCACGAGCGAACGCTGGCATCACGACCCCTTGAAGGCCAACCCTCTGAACATACACCGCCACATATCAATGGCTTATACCGGAATCATACAGCATGCTCGAATTTTTGCGGTGGGGTGCGTAAGATACCACAACCCCTACTGTAGACGGATCCTCCCAAGCTCCATTACCGTAGGTGACGTAAGATATCACTCCCCCTGGACCGATTTTCGAAGCTCGCCTACTCCACGACGAAGGGGATACCACAGTCAAATGGTGCTCATTTGGAAAGCTCTCGACAAGGCAGTTCCAGCGCCGCCATTTTCTGTCGAGTCACCGTTTTCCCTGCCGAGTAGTCGAGCTTTGAAAATCGGTCTAGGGGGGGGTGATATCTCACGTATACAACCTATGGTACTCCACGGATGAAGAGGATGCTTGTACAATGATACAAAGTTTCCGAAGATCTCTAGACGGAAAGGTTTCAACTCTGCCACAGTTGCAGTTCCTGCTCTTGCCGCAGAGCAACCAAGCTTCGAAAATCGGTCAAGGGGGTGTGGTGTCTTACGTCATGACACCTACGGTGTGACTATTGACTGACATATGCCTATACCGCCGCGTAGGGGTTGACAAAACAATCCGATCGCTGATTCACGCACCAAAGACTATTTCCGGGAGTATTCCTTGGGTGGTTCCCCGTGTACTCTTGTTTACAGCAGTACAAGTGTTCTAGCGACTGACATTGTCTACCTACACGCCCTTCACGCAGATCTACCGCAGCCTCAAGCCCGGGTGGGGGAGCGGTGGCTACCTCACACGCGAGGGTACTATCGATTGCGCCGACCGTTTGGAGGCGTTTTTGTCGGAGGTGGGGTCGAGGGAGGACGAGATTTTCTCGGAGCGCGCGGAGGAGGAGGCCGAGTTTAGGGGTCGCCGCAGGAAGACCAGCAAGGTGTTTTTGTTGCTGCCGCTGTTGGCGTTGTTATTGCTGTTGTTGTTGTTGTTGCTGCTGCCGCTGCTGGCGTTGTTTTGCTGTTGTTCTTGGTTGTTGCTGTTGTTGCTGTTGTTGGTTGCTGCTGTTGTTGCTGTTGTTGGTTGTTGCTGTTGTTGCTGCTGCCGCTGCTGGCGTTGTTTTGCTGTTGTTCTTGGTGGTGGTGGTGGTGGTGGTTGTGGTGGTGGTGCTGTTGCTGCTGCTGCCGTTGCTGCTGTTGCTGTTGCTGTTGCTGCTGCTGCTGATGATGATGATGATGTTTGTGCGGAGCAGTTTGTTGATCGAGGAGGAGTACCCCCCCTCCCCCCCCACTGACACATTACGACCCCCCCGATGTGGTTCCGTTTGGATGTTGTAGCGGTTCGGGTGTGCGGAGGAAGTTCCCAGTGAGGCAGAGATCGCTCTCGAAGAGCCACCCCACCCCACCCCACCCCCTCCCCCACGCACATATTACGACCCCCCCAATGTGTTTCGTTTGCACTTCCTACGTTGTAGCGGTTCGGGCGTGCGGAGGAAGTTCCCAGCGAGGCGGAGATCGCTCTCGAAGAGGCCAAGCGGCAGAGGTCATACGAGAAGGCGATGTTGGACACGATGGGTTACGTGCCGGAGACAGAGGACGGAGGGAAGGACTACAAGGGGAGGTGAGACTACCGCAGATTGCGTAAGATATCACACCCCCTGGACCAATTTGCTGGACAGACGGTGCCCAGAATGGCGGGTACGAGCCGTCTCGTCGAGAGCGCCCCGACGGCGTATAGTTTGATTTGGCATCATTTTCGTCGTGGAGTGGTCGAGCTTTTAAAATCGAGCTCCAAGGGGTGTGGATATCTTACGTCATGTCATGTCACCTACGGTAGGCTGAAGCCGTGAATAGATGGGGGCGATCACACAAACTCGCGAAAAGAAGGGTGTTCGGCGGCAAGGGCCACGTCAAACTTGCAGGCTTGCCGGGGCTAAGAGAGCCATACAGTCGCTCTCCGACCTAAAGCAAAGGGTAAAACGTTTTGCTGATGTGCTTCCAGTATTCATGCCGAGTTCAGGACTTTCTCCTGTCGAGTGGACGACTCTTTATGTTGCAACGATCGTTTTGTATCCAACGGTTCTTTACATTGCAACGATCGTTTGTTTAACGAGCAACTCTTAACGATGCAACGATCGTCTGTTTTAACGAAAGATTTACGTTGCAACGATTCATTGTTTGGTTGCCGTTTCAGGTATTACTTCGAAAAGTTCGGCATCACGCCCCTGCACACAGAGATCCACGACCGGCTTAGAGCCGCCTACGTGGAGGGTTTGCTATGGTGCCTGGCGTACTACTACCGGGGGTGTGTCAGCTGGGGGTGGTTCTTCCCGTTTCACTACGTGCCCATGATCTCCGACCTGGTGAGGAGGAAACGTTTTGTTGTCGGCGGGGTGTAATAGTAGTTATTGTTGGTGTTGGTGCTGATGCTGTTCGTCGTTATCCATGTTGCTGCTGCTGCTGCTGTTGTTTTGGCCATGTTGCCATTGCTGCTTTTGTCATCATCGCTGTTGCCGTTGTTGTAGTGTTGTTGGTGTTCGTGTCGGTATTGTTGTTAGTGTTACTGTTGTTGCTGTTGTCGTCGCGTTTGTCTTCGTTGCTACTGCCGCCGCTGCTGCTGCTGCTGTCGTTGTTGTGTTGCGGCCGTTGGCCATGTTTTGGTCATTGCTGTTGCTGCTGAGGTGACGGTGGTGTTGATGCTTGTTGCAGCCCTGCTGAGCAGTACACATGTGTCCGCCGCAGTACGACCTGAAGCCGTTTCCAGACTTGTCTCAGCACAGACGACAGCAGAACACTGGTGCTTGACTTGACATTTAGAACCTGCAGCAGTCGTCGTCCCAGGTACAAGGACGCATTTTTTTCCCGAGAGCATGGTGCCCCGTGGAATGCAATAACTGTAGCCGGGGGTGCAGCAGTGTACAGTTCACACGACGCCCTTGCCCGCTTCAAGGACGCCAATCATTACCAAACGCTTTTTGGGCATTTTCTTTTCAAAAGCAAACAAAAAAAGTGGTATGGGCATTTTCTATCAACAAATAAACAAAAACAGACAGTGGGGATGGTCCTGTAGTTAAAATATTGTTACTGGAGTCTCTATCTTTAACGCACGCCCCCTGTCTCTTGAAAAGGCGAGAAGTGATATCGGTAGGATAGATAGACTAGGGACGACATTTTTGACCCACCTTTGGCAAAGTAGGAAGGAACGATTGGCCATCGGTGATCGGTCCTGTGGGAACAATGCTCCGTCCTCTCGAGGACGCGTGGTCAATGGTCTAACCTCTAAGGCATGCACAACATAAGAGTACGCCCCCCCCCCCCCCCCCTCTCCTCTCCAAAACTACAACCCACGACATCCTTTTTAAACCGGGCTGCCGAAAAACT